TGTTTACAGTTTTCATTCACCTATTTTACATAGATACTATTAGTAATAATACTAAGTAATAATAATACTTAAATTTTGTAATTAATTATTTACAAAATATGTTCATTTAATACTTAAAAATTGTAATAGCATTATTACAGCAACCATACAAATATAAACTATTTTACATAGATGATTTACTATTATTCGTGCATGTAAGTACTACGATTTATGGATCCACACAGGGCCTGATTAACCAATAGGCTAAGTAGGCTACAGCCTAGGGCGCCAAGCGTTTTGGGGGCGCCACAAAAATTTTTTTTATGAATGTAGAATTTTTGCATAATATATACTTTAAAAAAAAAAATTATATTTTCGTTATTACACGTTCAATGCCGCGGCCTATTCGCGGTGCCGTTACCGCATCGCCACAACGAATTTCCGCCCGGTCGACTATTGTAATACGAGTATATTACGTTATTTGTCATATACCTATTTCTTGTAATCGTCGCGGGCTTATCGCACCGACGACCGAGCGATCCCACATCCACTAATAGTATATATAAAACTTTTGAGCCATTTAAAATCCTTGAAGATAGAGGCACTATTTCCAAATATTGAAGTGGCTCTAAGAATATATTTGAGTATGGCCGTCACAAATTGTAGCGAAGAAAGATCTTTTTCTGCTCTAGGGCGGGTGAAAAACATTTTAAGATCCACTTTACGCCAGGATAAAATGAAGGCCCTTGCACTTTTGTTTATTGAAAGTGAATTCATGAACAATATTTCTTTCGATGAAATAATAGTCTTTCGCAGCGTTAAAATCAAGGAAAAAACTTTTTTAAATGAATAATATTTAGTTCAATCATAAATTAAAAATGTTTAAATGCTTTTGTGTATAATTTTATTAAATATAAAACACGTTTTATTTTAAACAAAAAAAGTCTGTTGTTTTTACGTTTTCTTAATCCTCGTTTTACCCTCCAACCACTCCGATCATTCATAGAGGCGCCAAATCAACCCTAGCCTACTGGTGACCAACTCCTTAATCAGGCCCTGGATCATCCACAATAATATATTGTACCTACAGTGTAGGTACTAGGTATTTAATTTAAATAGTAATTATGTACTTATATTATTAGTAATATGTTTTTATTGAAAATGCTTATCATTCTATGAAAATGTCATGTATGTACGGTCATTTTTTATACAGTTACACCAAAAACCAAAATCAATTTAAATCTTTTTTAAGTGAAAATTCCCGTTTTTCCTTAAACTTTTTTCCATTGCTTTTGGAAACTAGATAGGTTATTATATTTATAAAGGCTGACCTCACTAATGCAACAACTAGATTCATTTTCACACTGGAAAAGATACTGAAGTTGAAAATGAAACTTTATTTCGATTACTTATCAATTGAGTTATCATGTACACAGACACGAAATATATTGTTTTGAAAACACACACATATCATTGTAAAATCATTACATTCATGCTCAGAATCTAAAAATATATTATCATTTCAAAACTAGAAGTAATTGTATTTTAAGAATTCTGATTCTGTTAAATAACATTTTTGTTTTAAAAAAATTTTAAGTTTTATTTTATAACCTTACATTTTTTAATCATTTTTCATTTTAGTATATACGTATAGGTTATAGCCTAGGAAACCCACTGAGATGAAAAATAAGCATATTATCGTTGTATACAGGGTGTATCTTATGTCATTGTACGCGGGGTTTTTTGACGATTACGGAACGATGATATGGAATTTCGTTAAAACGAAAAAAGACGTGTTTCTTTATTTTTAACAAGCAATTTTTTTATAACAATTTCAAAATTTTTAAACACGCAGGTGTACCAATAGCAAAATCAACTTTTTTTTTTCAAATGGTAACTACTATATTTTTTAATGGATTCTGGTAAAGCTTTTTTTTCTGAACATTTTGGTAGTCGAATCGTCAATTTTGGTTTGCTAGTTTCTTAACTATGGTCCTCCAAAGATTAGTAAAATATGCATTAATACTTTTAATTAAAATAATGGGTATAGGTTTAATTTACAAGCACTAAACAATTTTTTCTTATAACTACCATTTGATACACTATACAATAGTTGAATCGGTAATCTAATGACACCCTCAAAAAAAAAAAAAAAAAATAACAAACTCAAATGTGTAAACATACTCCATTATTTTTATTTTAACATACGATCATAAAAATCAATATTATTATTTTAATATCCAAAACTAAAAAGGATGGAAAGGGATGAATTACAACTCCTAAGTTCATACTTTGGATGCGATACAATTATGGGGAATCTACGGTTAATATATCAAGTTTATACTTTATACCACTACGAAAAGTGCACCACAAAACATTGCACTTTTTTCGTTGCACATATTAATGTCAACAATCGAATACCATTTACCAATTTACCATTATTACCTTAGCCACCTAACCTAAACCTAACCTAACCTACCTAATTAAGAATTCAAATTTATGATATTGTAAGAAAAGTAACTGTGATGAAAAAAATGTAAAGTAATTAATTACGATTATAATAATAAATTAAAATATTGATTTTTATGATCGTATGTTAAAATAAAAATAATGGAGTATGTTTACACATTTGTGTTTGTTATTTTTTTTTTTTTTTTGAGGGTGTCATTAGATTACCGATTCAACTATTGTATAGTGTATCAAATGGTAGTTATAAGAAAAAATTGTTTAGCGCTTGTAAATTAAACCTATACCCATTATTTTAATTAAAAGTATTAATGCATATTTTACTAATCTTTGGATGACCATAGTTAATAAACTAGCAAACCAAAATTGACGATTCGACTACCAAAATGTTCAGAAAAAAAAGCTTTACCAGAATCCATTAAAAAATATAGTAGTTACCATTTGAAAAAAAAAGTTGATTTTGCTATTGGTACACCTGCGTGTTTAAAAATTTTGAAATTGTTATAAAAAAATTGCTTGTTAAAAATAAAGAAACACGTCTTTTTTCGTTTTAACGAAATTCCATATCATCGTTCCGTAATCGTCAAAAAACCCCGCGTACAATGACATAAGATACACCCTGTATATTAAATAATAAAGAAGACAATTTTTTTTCATATATTTCTTTAATTAATTTTAGATTCTGAGTGGAACGATGAATGTATTGATTTTACAATGATGTGTGTTTTTTAATTTTTTTAATAAATTTTTTTTATGTCTGTGTACACGATAAATAGTCGAAATAATGCTTCGATTTTCAACTTCAGTATCTTGTTCGATTGGAAAGTGAATATCGTTGGTGCTAGGGAGGGTCAAAATTTAAATTTCCCAGTAGTTTTCAAAAGCGCCGGGAAAAACAAAAGAAAAATTAAGGAAAAACGGGAATTTTTACGCAAAATCTGTTTTCGAGAAAATCGATTTTGGTTTTTGGTGTAACTTTAAAACAAATGACCGTAGATACATGAAATTTTCAGTGGTTGTTTATATTTGCATTTTCTATACACGATAACATTTTCAAAATATTTTGATTTATTTTGAACTGTTAAGGACATTTTCAGTTTTCAATTTTATTAGTTTTTTTTTTTTATGAATATCAATAAAAATTTATTTGTTGAGTAAAAATACTTGAAAATCGTTAGTCACAGTTTTTTTTTAAGCATTTAAAGTTCAAAAAATGACAAAATATGGAAAAATCGCGAAAATTTGCAAATTATTTCGAGTTAGAAATTCATAAATATTTTTCTTTTTAAATCTAAGATATGAAAATGTAATACAAGATTCCTTATAAGATTTCCTACATTTATCAAAAAAAAAAATTTTATAAGAAAGTCAAATTACATTTTTATGAGCGTTTGAACTTCAAATTTTTACAACATTGGATATTCACTCGATTTCTCATGTGGCGATTTCCTTATTTTGTTGTAATTCAAAAACAAATTACTGTAGATACATGAAAATTTCACTGAATGTTTATATTAGCATTTCCTATACACCATACAATTTTGAAAATATTTTGACTCTTTTTGAGCTGTTTACGGATATTTTCAATTTTCAATTTTCTTAGTTTTTTTTTTCTATGAATATCAATAAAGTTTTATCTGTTGGGCCAAAAAGTGTAAAAATTTAATACAAGGCTCCTGATATATTGTTACAATATCAGTTGAAAAATATTAAAAATACATAGGCACAATTTTTTTTTATAAGCATTTAAAGATCGCATTTTGACAAAATTTATCAAAATCTCAAAAATTATCAATCATCGTAATTAATAAATTATAAAATTTTCAGTTTTTATAGCTAAGAATTGAAAATTAAAAAAAAAGATTTTCATAAATAGTTCATACTGTAGCCAAAAAAATCTAAAAAATATATGAGCACAGTTATTTTTTACAGACATTTTAAATTCAAATTTGGACGAAATTACATATTAAAAAACCTAGAATAACTATTTTAGTTATTTTGTTGTGATTTAATAATATTATTCGTGGGTACTTGAAACTTCTAAAGTGTACTTTTATGTATCTATGATAGTATCACGGTTTTTGTTGATGTATAACGCGTTATAAGTACCTAATGGATATTGTGATATGATTAATTTGGAATTTATTATATGTACCTATTATAGGTCAAATTTTGGTTTAGTACCATAGATATGTATATAATATGTCTTATACCTAGACTGACATACCGTCTCCGCTCAGAATCGTTTTTCTTATACAATGATATTATATCGTTGAATTCAAATTTAATATCATCCATTGACCCACTTGTGCCCTACTGTACAGCAGAGCGACACCCACTTGCACACTTTTTTTTTTTTATTCCATAATTCTTTCCCCTAAACTCTCCTACTATATAACAGTCGTGTACCTACCTTTATGTTAGTA